ATAAAACCAGTGCATTAGGGTCCTAAAATTTTGTCAACCAGATGCCATTCATTTCCTGTGCATTCAAAACATCAAAAATGCAGCTTGGCATAGTGACATACATTATAATCCCAGCATTCAGGAGACCGAGTCAGAAAGTTTGCTCCAAGTTTGAGGCCAGCCTGGGCTACATAATAAATTCAAGGCCAACCTGACCTATGCAGTGAAATCCTATTAAAATATACACCTTAAATGAAGTAAACAATCATGTTTAGGGCTGGGAACCCAAGTTAGAGCCTAGGTAATAACACAAAAAAAAACCAGACATACCTGTTTAAATAAATAAAATTTTTGTCTATAAAATAAAAGTTTAATGTTTTTTTTATCTTTATACTTTTTCTTAATTTTTGAAAAATGTATCATTAGTCTTTTGGAACTTAAAATGGCTTTCTCTGTTGTTTAGATGAAGAATTTTTTTATAATTTGATAAAGTCCATTTATTTTGGTATCATCACTTGTTTTAACTTTTGTTTTGTTTTGTTTTGTTTTTTTGAGACAGGGTCTCACTATGTAGTTGAGACTGACCTGGAACTCACTTTGTAGCCCAGGCTGGTTGAACTCTTAGGATTGTCCTGCCTCAGCCTCCTAAATGCTGGGATTACAGGCGTGTGCCACCACTCCTGGTCCTATTCTTTTCTTTGATAGGTATTTTGGGATGGGGAGCTGAGTTTCTTGTTCCATTGGCATCCACAGAGCCAGGGCTTTTGTCCCAAACTCTGGTAGCGTAGTCATTCATTTTTAGTAGGGTTTGTTAAAAAGAACACAACTAAATGTCTGGAAACTTGGATTCTAGTCCAACCCCATGAACAATGCATAGTTCCTATTTTTTTTCTTTCTCCTCTGCTAGATATCAAATCCAGGGCCCCTGATATGCTAAGTAATTTTCTACCACTGAGTTACACCCTTCAGCCCTAGAGGGAGAGCTTCATGCAAATTCTTCCCAAAATTTGCATTGTTTCTGGACTTTAGAAACCAAGGACAAAGTGTTCTAAAGATCCTCACAATCCTAAATCTTTGTCAATACATGCCATACCTCTCTGGAATTGTTCAGATAAGTACCAGTCTAATCACCAAGCTTTCTGTGTTTTTATACTGTTATTTTGGGATTAATTTGAGCTCATGTCTATCTTAGGTGTGGCTTAATTTTTTATATATATATATATATATATATATATATGGACT